GCAAACCTCTTAGAGGAATTGCAAAAGCAGTGGATTTACGAAACCTCCTACACGTCCCTCTTCCGCCCCTCTACGCTCTATAGGAAAACGTGGGAGCTTTGGCAAACATGGAGATCTGGTAAGGTACCGGGTAAAGCACCGGGGGCTGTACCTAGCAAATGAGCTGTCAAGTCCTCAACATCTCCAAGTTGCGTATGCTTACGCACACTCCCACGGCCACTCGTGGGACGCTGATGCTGATGTTGATATGTTGTTAGATATAGAGTGACACGCTACAGTGGGGACATATCGCCATTGTCGTTCCGTATTGAAAATAATGTGGATTTACTGTTACTGTAACAAAAAAACAAAAAAAGCTTGTCTGTATCAACCTGTGATGCCCCCCCCCCTCCCTTCCTCCCTCTGTTATGTACCCTCCCCCAGTATAAGGAGCAACTGTACAAATCTACACTTATTAATTATTATCCCATTCCTTTCTGTACCCTGAATACGTTGCTTACTGACAAAATAAATAAAAATTGTCAAATTTAAAAAAAATATAATTGTATCTCAGTCTCTAAATTGAACTTTAATCACATACAGGAGGCTCTTGCAGGGTCTAGCAAGCTGCTAACATAGCAGGGGATAAGAAAATCTTAATTAAACAGAACTTGCAATAAAGAAAGCCTAAATAGGGCTCTCTTTACAGGAAGTGTTTATGGAAGACTGTGCAAGTCACATGCAGGGAGGTGTGACCAGGGTTCATGAACAAAGGTATTTAACTCCTAAATGGCAGAGGATTGAGCAGAGCGGCTGCAGGGGCATGTTCTATACACCAAAACTGCTTCATTAAGCTAACGTTTTTCAGGTGACTATAGTGTCCCTTTAAGCTAACTAATGGAATAACCTAATTATCCACAGGCAGAAAATATCCACTTTTACCCAAAGTACAGAAACACCCCAAAACACAGACATATCCCCACAAATCCTACATTCCTGGATAGCCCTGATCTGGTAGAACAACATATCCAAAAATCACCCAGATCAGAGCAGGGGTTCAAAAGATTTATGGAAGTCACATTTGACCGACCGCAAGCATGGCTTTCATGCCCAAAACAGTTCCACAGATTTAGGCTGTGCGGCCGGTCTATCTTCTCCTCTATCCTGGAGATAATTGGCTGTGGTAACTTAATTATCTCCAGGTACAGGAAATATCTCTAAGTCAAAAACCGTTACAAAAACCATATAAAAATACATAACTCTTATAGTACAATGTTTAACCTAAAAGTCCAACATATCCCCAGATAGCTTGGATCTGAGCGCTCAATATGTCCAATGTTAAAAGTGCCCTATAGTACACGGAATGGTGGAGTCAGACAATAGCAAGGGTTGATGGGAGATTGAGGAGGGACAAAGAAGCCAGTTTCAACTGGTCTGGCAGTGTCCCTGGCAGAACAATAGAACAGGAAAAAGGGGGAGGGGAAGAGGCACATTTTCCCATGGAAGTCACTTTTTATCATGTCTTTTTGCAGGGCCCATAGTCTATTAAAACCCCATAAGCCCAAATAGGGTTTTTAAACGGCAATACCCCCAGGGGCCATAGTCAAAGGGCAAGAGGCTGGTAATAAGACCTCTCCAAACCCCGGTGACGAAGGTGCTTTGGTCACAGTGTGCATGAGTGACTGTTTTAATGTGGCAGAGCTCTGTTATACACTTATGTCCCTTGCTGGGATTTAGTTTTTTCTGTGGAGTTCATGCAGACTGAACATTAACCAAACCAATTCTTATTTTATTTTTTGCTCCTTGATGTGCTATGCACTTATTTTCCTCTAAATTATGTGTACATATTGCTTTGTTATTGAATATTTCTTTTTGTCATTTTTAGTCTGAATAAGTTTGTAAGGTAATTTGAGCAGGGCCTTCTTCACCTCTTGTCTCTATTAAGGACCCCCTAGCCCCGTGTCACTCTGTCCCCTATATGTCTTTAAAACTGAGTTTTATTGCTGCAGAGTCTGTGATACACTCATTCACTGCACATTACTGTTATGTGTTATGAACTGTTGATATACTTGCCTCATTATGGATATCCAGAGTGAAACGTCCGTCCGTTAATTCAAGTCAGTCTGTCTAAATCTTAACCAAGATTTATCAAACATATTGAAACACAGTCTGTTATCCTTAACACAGTAATTGTGAGATACAGAATTCCAAAATATGTATCGGATTGTTATCAAGAAATAAAAAAAAAGCCAACACTGTTCCTGAGTATGTTACTGATAAAAGTGCAGAAGAAGATATTATTTCTGTTGGTTCTGATCAGTGCAGTTTACACTCAGAAGTGTACCAATTGATGACCCAGTGTGTAGCAGTGTATTACAAGTGTCAAGTATTGACGAAACTGAGGATGTTATTTTTTATAAATATTATTTATTTTTTCAGTTCAGAGCATAAGCAACACACTGGTAAACAGTAGTTAGAAAATATGCAGTAAAAGGATGCGATGGTTGATATTGGGTCTTTGCAGCGGTTTTTTATATTTTTGACAGGCTAGCGTATGCCTAGCAATATTTGTGGATTACCCTTCTTATAGAGGATGCTCGAGTGTGTGGTGTTCTTGCACTGTTCCCATGGGTCGATGTCTCACTAGGCGGAGGGTACAGTTAGGACGTACTTATCTGGAGATTCTGGATGTGTGCATCTGTGGGATTGTGAGGTGAGGTTGCCGTGAATGCATAGAGGCGTGTTAGCTCCTATATTTGATGTCTGTTGAGGAGCCTGTGTGAGTGCAGTTATTTGTTATTGCAGCTTGTCTACGTCTATGCTTTGAATGCGGTTACTCCTGATCGAGGGAGTAGCGGGGAGGGTTGGGGGGGGATCCTAAGTTGCCCTTGAGTTTGTGTGGTAGGAGTAAGGATGTTATTTTTTTTAGTTCAGAACAGAGCACTTCATATTCAAAGCCATCAGACATACAAACTGATGAACCAGAACCAATGTCTAGTTCCAGGGAGTTCCAAGCGGCAGGTCATAACCAAACAGAAGATATTACATCTTTTAGTTCACGTCTTTCAAGTCAGAGTACTTCATGTTCAACAAAGCAATCAATCCCAGCAGCTGATGATTCAGTCTGTGGTATTCCCAAAAACAGATTTGAACGCCAGAGTCGACTAGCTAGAGGCGCTTATCTAAAACTGAGCATGTTTCCTAGAACTAAAATAGGGAATAAACAAATTACTTTTCAGAGTGATTGTTATGAAAAATATAGGTGGCTCAAATTCAGTCCAGCAAAGGATGCAGCATTTTGTTTCTACTGCCGTTTCTTTTCTTCTAATGATGCAACACAAAACGGTCACGCTGATCCAGCCTTTATTGAAAAGGGATTCAGAAACTGGCACAGGGCTAATGAATGTTTTAAAACTCACCAACTATCAAAATCTCATATGCTGAGCACTTCTGCATGGTCAAGCTTTAGTGAAGGAAACCTACTGATGTGTTACTAGATAAGAGCAAGAAGGCTTATCTATTAAAAAAATAAGAAGAAAGGTGCCAGAACAGAAATCTTGTAGAGTGACTGATTAACATTGTTCGGTGTTTGGCAACAAGTTGGCAGACCATTTAGAGGTTACAATGAAAAAACTGATAGCCACGGCAGAGGTTTATTTCTAAATATTGTCAATCTACTAGAAAAATATGATCCTGTCATGCAAAGACATTTGCAAGAATCTCCTCGAAATGCTACATATCTGAGTAACCACACCCAGAATGATTTAATTATGGCCTTACATAATATTGTGCAACAAAAAATTATGTCAACAATAAATGGAAAAATGATCTCAATAATTGCAGATGATACTGCTGACTGTGGACACTATGAACAGATGTCTGTGATGTTTTGTTTCAATTCAAAGGCTCTTAAAAGTTGATGCTTAGTCAATTTTTGACCAAATAAGTAATGTTCTTGAAATTATTGACTGGTCATCAGTGAACTCTGTGTTTTGATGGAGCATCTACTATGTCTGGATGCACTTGCAGATGTTCAGATGAAATGTAAAGAAACAAAAGGGGGAAATACTCTATGTTCACTGCTATGCACATTGTTTAAACCTTGTCCTAGTTGATGCATGTGTCTCAAGTAGGAAAAACAGAACAGTGTTGACTTATTTGGCATTCTCCAGACTCTTTATGCCTTCATGGAGGGAAGTCATGTGAGTCATGCTGTAATGGAGAAGATTTCTCAAGGAACTCAGTTGAAGACTCAGTTGAAGACTCAAAGTCACTGTCAAATACAAGGTGGGCATGCAGAGCAGAAGCAGTGAAAATAAAAAAATAAAATATTTCAGTTATTTTACAGTCTTTAAATGAGATCATCGAATCAAGTCGCTTTGTTACCGTGTAAGCATGCAGAAGCCAAACACAGAGATATGGACACAAGTCTTCAGGAAGTAAGAGGCCTTTATTCACATTACCGATCGGGTCTCAGATGAACTCCTGTTCCAAAAGATCTGAGAGACCAACACATGGTGTACATTTCTTATATAGCACTATAACTCCTCCCATTAATAGCTACACCCACATATACTTTTAACCAATCAATAAGAAGAATATAGACTTGGACATCTAGTCAAACCACATGGCCCATCCAAGACAAAGGAAATAAGTGCAATTTCAGTTCCTGCATTCCTGCACATGCTCAGTACATTGATGACAGTATCCTAGCTACGTGTAGCTGACTAACTGACACAACATACACATATGCCACATGGAAATCTTGGCCTACTAAATTTACATTCACCGAAATTCCACCACAGCTTAGCTGATGCTAAAATAAAAGCATGGGGCCTTATTTGTGAACTAAGTTCTTTCAAATTTATCTTTGCTCTGCACGTGATGCACCATATTCTCCAAATGGTGGTAAAAGTTAGCATCAAATTTCAACTTGCTTACTGCAATGACAGTGGTGAAAAGCCTGTGCAACTCCTTGGTTTACGTGAGAAGTGACCCAGATTATTTTCAGTCCATTTTCCATGACTGAAAAAAAGTGTGCAGAAAATAACATCGCCATTCCACCAGTTAGGAAGAGAAAACCATCTGTCCTTATTGATGAGGCAGCACAGTCTCAGTATCACTATCAAACAAAAGAGGAGCAGGAGAGGATAACTTCATTTTACCCACTACTGGATTCATTGATAACTGGTATTGACCAGCGATTTGAGTCATGTGATATTGTAACTGCAGTTGGAAAACTGCTAAGTTTGGAGATACCTAAAGTTGACATAGAAATCCTTGCCAACAAACTAAAGGTGTCCGTGGATTAATTGGAAGCAGAAGCCACACTGCTAAGGGAGTATGATGGACCTACTCCTAAAGGTTGCACCACAAATACCAAGAGTGGCTTGATTGGTTTAAAGAATCAGATCAATCCAACACATTTAATGCTTTTTATAAGTGTGTTCAGTGCTTTACAGTGTTACCTGTGACAAGCTGTTCATGGGAAAGAGCCTTTTCAAAATGGACACATGTAAAAACCAAACTGAGGAGTACAATGTCCAAAGAACGCCTTGATGCCCTCATGAAATTATACATTGAGCAAGAATTGGCTTGGTCGGCTACTTATAATGAAGTCATTGAAGAATTCAAGTCCATAACACCTACTGTGCGACGTCTTCTTCTCTAGAGCATACAGATGAGGAAACCATAATAGTCTGTAGGGGTGCTGACAACTTTACCGATGCCAATTTGGTTGAAGAAACATTTTGATTTAGTTTCTGTTGTAAAAATTCCCATGTACCATGCACTTTGTGTAAAAAATTTTACTTAGATTTGTTATGGTTAAAACAGCTTATTTATTTTAAATGTTTTTTTTAAGTTAAACCCCTTAAGGACTGACTCAGTTGTACAAGTTGTGATCAAAACAAAACGTAAACAAAACCTTGAATTTGCGCTATATGTCTGTTCAGGCGTAATTCACCTCTTTTATATTATGTGCACCCACACGTATCATATATAATTCTGTTCAGGAGATACAGGGCTTTCATGTCACATCAAATATTTGTATATTAAACATAATTTTATATAAATAAAATATTTTAAAAATTGAGAAATGTTATTTTTTTAGTTTTGCATGTCAATTTAACTGTAAATACCACAATACTGTTAGCTGTTACTACAATAAAGTACACATATTTGTTTTCAGCGATGTCTCAGGAGTAAAACAGTACCCCCAATGTACAGGTTTTATGATGTTCTGGAAAGTTACAGGGTCAAATATAGCACGTTACATTTTTCAGTTTATACACATTGAAATTTGCCAGACTGGTTATGTTGCATTTGAGACCAAATGGTAGCCCAGGAATGAAAATTATCCCCATGATGGCACACTATTTGCAAAAGCATACAACCCAAGGTATTACAAATGGGGTATGTCCAGTCTTTTTTAGTAGCTACTTGGTCACAAACACTGGAATTATTCGATATGGTAAGTAGGAATTGTGCTTTTGGTAATGCCGCTTTTAGTCGCTCGGGATGTGCACTCTGTGCATGCAAGATTGTGTTCTGATCAGTCGGCTTTGTATACAAGGAGTACTGTATCTTGCCACCCTCTATCGAGATCTGTAGGTCTAAGAAATGTGCTGTCTCCATACTTATCTCCGATGTAAACTTAATTGGGCTTTCTAGTTGGATGAGAGAGTTTACCATGTCTTGGGCCTCTTGTATGGTTCCTGTCCATATGATGAGTAGGTCGTTAATATACCTATAATAACCTAGTATTTTATCACCATACCATGGATGATAACATTTATCACCTGGGGTAAGTCACTTTTTGTAATTATCACAGCTATATATTTTGTTTCTATTTTACTAGTATTATGTTATTGATCCTGAGGAAAGTCCCTAAGTGGACTGAAACATCGATCTCTATTTACATGTTGGCACAAAGAAGAACTCTACACAGAAAGACCGTGAGTGCAGCCCATCTATTCTTTGCTTTGAATGTTCAAACCCCTGGACTAGCACCCGGCATTTAAAAATGTATGTATATTAATATCAAAATACATTAAGAACAAATTAAAACGGTATGTACTTTTTTTTAAATGTATTTAATTTTTTTCAATTTATTGATTAGTTTAATTATATATATATATATATGTCATTCTCAGTGTATTTTAATAATATATATTAATATACACTTTTATTAATTATGTATATGTGTATATAAAGTACTTAGATCATATATAGATGATCTAATACTTTTTATTTAATTTAAAAACAGTTTTAGAACTTTTTTTAACATTTAAAAACTTTTTAACAGGCATGAGGGGGACTGCCTGATAGTTCAGACAGGACCCCTGCAGGCACTGCATAAGCCAGCTATTCCGGCTATGTAAACGCGAGGACCCCGCGATCACGTGGCCGAGGGTGGGGGAGGGGGTGTGGATCCGTCAGACACCAGGATCGTGACTGGCAGGGACCCGGTAAGTATGCACACGTCACAGGTGGAGGTGGGGTCACGCATGCGCAGCACACACAGATGGATGCAGGCAGCACCACACCTGGGGTAAGTAATGATGCTTATTCCCCTATATATTGCAACATGTTTTATATTGATTGTATGCTGTCCTGAGGAAAGTCCCGACCTGGGACTGAAATGTTGACGATTTATGGCATTTTTCTTTTAATGTAAGGAATAAAAGTTACATTTTAATTGGAGTCTGAGAGTGCGGATCATCAATTGGCATACAAGTGTATATGAATGACCTGGACCTGGCACCCAGCATTTAATCTATTGGAACTTCTAGCCTACAGTGAAAGGATTTATGGAATGTATGTATAATTAGGGGCACAGTGGTCATTGTGCCTTTCCTATGCACCGGTGTTTTTTGAATTTATTGGATTTCATCACAGCATTTAGTGAATACGCCCCTTAAGTCTGTTGTACATTTTGCAAGAGGACTTTTTCAGCATTCATTAAAGCTGGGCTTTTCGACTATATTGTTTTTAGTTGTGTTAGGTTACATGGGAGTGTTTAACATGGATGAATTTCTACAGCAGGCAGGAGCCTATGCTACACAGGCTGAGACATTACAATTTACCTTGGAGGAAGCAAATGGAATTCAATGGGACGAATCTAGTTTGTCTCTCCCAAGTAATTACACTGTACGTGACATTTACTTGCAATTGCTACGGCTATCCAAGAGGGAAATAGACTTGGACTTACATGGTCTATTCTTATCAGACTACTATAAGGCGAGTCAAATTCCTAGGGGTTTTAGGATACTAAACATCCCTACTATAGGACGTCTACAGGGAGTGCAGAATTATTAGGCAAATTAGTATTTTGACCACATCATCCACTTTATGCATGTTGTCTTACTCCAAGCTGTATAGGCTCGAAAGCCTACTACCAATTAAGCATATTAGGTGATGTGCATCTCTGTAATGAGAAGGGGTGTGGTCTAATGACATCAACACCCTATATCAGGTGTGCATAATTATTAGGCAACTTCCTTTCCTTTGGCAAAATGGGTCAAAGAAGGACTTGACAGGCTCAGAAAAGTCAAAAATAGTGAGATATCTTGCAGAGGGATGCAGCACTCTTAAAATTGCAAAGCTTCTGAAGCGTGATCATCGAACAATCAAGCGTTTCATTCAAAATAGTCAACAGGGTCGCAAGAAGCGTGTGGAAAAACCAAGGCGCAAAATAACTGCCCATGAACTGAGAAAAGTCAAGCGTGCAGCTGCCACGATGCCACTTGCCACCAGTTTGGCCATATTTCAGAGCTGCAACATCACTGGAGTGCCCAAAAGCACAAGGTGTGCAATACTCAGAGACATGGCCAAGGTAAGAAAGGCTGAAAGACGACCACCACTGAACAAGACACACAAGCTGAAACGTCAAGACTGGGCCAAGAAATATCTCAAGACTGATTTTTCTAAGGTTTTATGGACTGATGAAATGAGAGTGAGTCTTGATGGGCCAGATGGATGGGCCCGTGGCTGGATTGGTAAAGGGCAGAGAGCTCCAGTCCGACTCAGACGCCAGCAAGGTGGAGGTGGAGTACTGGTTTGGGCTGGTATCATCAAAGATGAGCTTGTGGGGCCTTTTCGGGTTGAGGATGGAGTCAAGCTCAACTCCCAGTCCTACTGCCAGTTCCTGGAAGACACCTTCTTCAAGCAGTGGTACAGGAAGAAGTCTGCATCCTTCAAGAAAAACATGATTTTCATGCAGGACAATGCTCCATCACACGCGTCCAAGTACTCCACAGCGTGGCTGGCAAGAAAGGGTATAAAAGAAGAAAATCTAATGACATGGCCTCCTTGTTCACCTGATCTGAACCCCATTGAGAACCTGTGGTCCATCATCAAATGTGAGATTTACAAGGAGGGAAAACAGTACACCTCTCTGAACAGTGTCTGGGAGGCTGTGGTTGCTGCTGCACGCAATGTTGATGGTGAACAGATCAAAACACTGACAGAATCCATGGATGGCAGGCTTTTGAGTGTCCTTGCAAAGAAAGGTGGCTATATTGGTCACTGATTTGTTTTTGTTTTGTTTTTGAATGTCAGAAATGTATATTTGTGAATGTTGAGATGTTATATTGGTTTCACTGGTAATAATAAATAATTGAAATGGGTATATATTTGTTTTTTGTTAAGTTGCCTAATAATTATGCACAGTAATAGTCACCTGCACACACAGATATCCCCCTAACATAGCTATAACTAAAAACAAACTAAAAACTACTTCCAAAAATATTCAGCTTCAATATTCATACTTAAGTTGCCACTGGAATGATACTAAAAAGCCTCCAGTTAGTTAAATGCGCGTAGGGATTTGGGAGAGTGCGCAAGTAACTTTTTTCTTTGGTTTTTAAGGGTATTGTAATGGTGCCAATATGAAAGGAAAACATAATTGCTTGCAGCAAAAATACTCAATATCATCACAAGACCATTGTTCCATGCAGTGCACATACGTTCAAACTGGTTTTGAATGGCACTACCTAACAGTAGATTTTTTTTGGCATCATTCAAGAACTGTATTTGTTCTTTGTCTCATCCACTCAACAATTGCAAGCACTCAAGGAGCATTTTGAAAATCTAAGTTTAAAACCATTCGCCGATAGCAGATGAGAAAGCAGTCACAGCATTTAAACCCTTGTGTTATTTCCAACCTGAAGTATATGATGCACTGTATGACAACTCAGATGATGACAACAGGGACATTAACAATAAACATCAGACTCATTCCTTAGCAACTAAGATAAAATCATTCAAATTCCTCTGTTCAAAGGTGAACGTAATCAGCAGAAAACAACAT